ACTTGATCTCCAATTTAGAGAGGTAACAACTATATACTGGCGAAGTTTCAGAAGCAATGAGTTCTGTATAACGTTTCGTGTAACAACAAACTTCCACTATGCTTTTCCTTTTTTGTTGATCGAATACCCCAATCAATCAATCATTACAGTATTTGGAAATTCCAAATTTGGTTGGTATATTCCCTGACTGTATCACCCACCATACGTTTTAAAATGTATATACAAATACGCGTTCTTTTAAAAAAAATTTTTTTTTTTAATTATTACTATTTCTTTTTATAATATCTTAAATGGAAGTAGATTGTTCAACTCCTGTTCCTCGTCGTATTAAACGTAAAATAAGTGAGTCAGGTAGCGATAATAATGAAAGTGAAGAATTCAATTTTAATAGAGCTTGTAAAAAAGTTTCTCAGCCTGTTACTACTAAAAAAAAAAGCTCTGGTTAGAATTTTGTTTTTTCTTTGGAATTTATTATAAAAATTTATATATATATATTATGCGCTATTTGTCAATAATTATAATTATAATATCAATATATATACATAGTAAACACAAAAAGATTTTATGTTTTCATGGAAAATGAGGTAGAAGAACATGAAAAATTAGAACTTATAGGTGAAGATTCATTCAATGAAGGATGTCCTCCCGACGCCTACTTTGTGGTATACCATGATTGCCAGCCTGTTGAACACCGAATCTGGTTTGATATCTAATTATTATATAATATGTAGATATATATTATTTATTATATTTTAAATATCAGTGTAAAGTCATTCAGAGATGCATTTAAAATTTTATTTGATAATTATATTTACCCCAATGCAGTCAATGATCTTAATATGAATTTAATTACGCCCATCTTGATTCCTCCTTTTATCTTAATACCATCTTGCTCTCCTCCTAGACGAAATGAAAGCATTCCACGAACATTCTCTAATAAAAAGTAATCAGGCCTATAAAAATCAACATAACTCAACGCTGTTGCTACAAGACTATTTTTGATATCGTCGGCTTTTTGATAACGATTCACACCACTAAATCCTTGACTAATTATTTTTTTTAAAAAAAAAACAAAAGATTTAGATTTATTTAAACCTATCAAAATAAATAAATAAAATTTTTTCTTTACCAAGGTGGACCACAATAAATAAAATCAACTTCACCAGGTCTTGGCATACTAGGGACTTTTTGTTTCAGAAAATCATATATTTCCTCCGGCCTTTCATTCCTGACATGTTCAGCAATTGTACGTTCAAGTAATAAATTTGCACACTGGTTATAAACAATTGCATCAGGATTATTATTTCTATATGTATATTATTTAGAAATATAAACAAAATAAATCATTAAATTAAAAGTTAATTAATATCACTATATCAAATTAATATATTTATTATATCTTACTTAAAAGT